TGGAAAGGAAGTTCCTTCCTGGCGGAGAATCTAGCACAAATGATTAGTGTTTAAAACTAAAGGGTCGCATATTTAATAGTATGGGGAGAAATATTTTCCCAGAGGTTGTGAGACTTCAGCATTCTCTTCCTGAAAAAAAAAACCAGTGAAGCAGACTCTTTTTTACAAAACGGGGGTAAATAGATTTTTGATAAACAAGTGAGTGAAAAGTTAGTCAGGGATAGGTGGAAATGTGGAGTAATCAGCCATGATCATATTAAATGGCGAAGCAAACTCAAGAGACCAATTGGTCTAATTTTGCTCCTAATTTCAATGTTCTTTTATGTCCCTAGGTTTTTTTTGGGCAGGAGTGAAAGCAACATAGGACCATCAACGTGAAATGATAAATTTTCTTCAAGGTGGTGTAAGAAAAATAGCATGAAAAATCAAGAAAAAAAATCAGTCCCTTAAATGTCAAGAAAATGTTTTCCATTTTCCCCTTAGATTTGAACACAGAGTTCAAACCTGAATCTCATTAATAAATAGCAAAATTAATTTGTGAAATTGCATCTCATTACTAGCAAATTTTGCTTAATTTCTACACAATTTTCAATTCTCCACTCCTTCCCTGAGAAACTAGACAAGGCCAATTCCCAACGTGAAAGCCAGAGCTGTTTCTTTGCCTCTCCAGGCCTCCCAGTCATTCTACCTTCAACACCATTTCCCTGCATGGTATATGGACATAGTCCTCTTCCACTCTTCATCCACACAAGAGAGCATCACTTAGCCACCAGCCTCAAGATCATTGTGACTGCTTTTGGACAAACTCTCACGCCACTTCAGCCCTTCACGTTGGAGCTCAGGAACATACAACATATGCTTCTGCCAGGTCACTGGGTGCAGGGACACACGTGCATCTCATACATGTACACAATACACATTTATTAGCTAACTTTCTCACTACTCAATCACTTTGCACTGCCTTGGTGGCTGCCAGGCTCTCTAGTTTGCATTTCTTTTGCAACTTGTCATCGTTCAAAGTACTCAATGATCAAGGAAGCAGCACCATGCTACTACAATATCACACCTACAGCATATAACAGCAGCTTACATGGTAAACATATTGCACATGCTTCAAACAAGTACCCACATCTGAACGTCCAATGGCACCAGTCAATAATGTGACACAGTTTAAGGATCGCTAGTGTCTGCGTGCCTTCACGGCCAAGGAGCCAATTGCTTGCGACAATTAAGCAATGCTCGGCTGTTACATCTTTCATCCATGAGATGTTTGAAGAGGCCCCACATATCACAAGTGGGTGCAAATTCACCAGGTCTGACAGCTATGAAGAGACTATGAACTGGCATTTTGAGAGTGAAAGTGAATGCATAAAGCTACAAGATTACTTACAATGAAGTATCACCTGAGCCACCTACGTGCCCTCGCAGGTTTTTGGTTTTCTTTCCCTCAACTTTGTCTAAGTGCAGTCCTGAAATCTGTAGCGAGGGTGGAGGGTGCCTTTCTCGTTAGCCTTGTTGGACTGGAACACTGGCTGGTTGTCCCCAGGGACATTTGTGCCTAGAAGGCCCGGACCCACTAAGTTTGCTCTGCCTAGATACAGGCTTATCTTTTCAAGCTTGGGCTTCTGTTGACTTCAGTATCACAGGCAGGAAGGGGAAGGGGCCAAGCACCTCGGGAGTATCCATGAAAGGAAGACTTTTGGGGTCCCGTGTGTGGCTGCCCCTCCAAGTGGGTGCTTATGGCACTGCTCAGAGCAAAGGCACCTGGAGAGAGATTGAAATCCCTTGTCCTTCTCTCACCCTGCCATTGATTGTAAGCATCTACAGTCACAGCAATAGAGCGTAGGTTTGTGCATGTATCCAGCAGACAGTGTTCTACCCCTGGATCTCCTTGACACTAGCCAACTTATCTATAGAGGAGACCAGACACACAGGCAGGAGTTAGCACAGAACTTATGTTTTCTGTAGATGATTTCATCCTTCGATCTAGTTTACCAACTGCCTTTGAACTGCCGTTGGTTGATGTTCTGAAGTGCTTCTGTGCATTTTGACGAGGTCATTGATGGGCAAAATCATGGGACTTTCTTCTTGAGACTGATCAGGTGCTTGATCTCTAGCAGTCGTCCAGTTGACAAAGACCTGGATTTTTCTTTTTTTCCCCTTGACAAGCTGTAAGAGGTGCATTGGTGATATGATCACCAGATTGTGCTCCACAGTCTCATCTAGAAATAAAATCCATGTATGTAAAAAGTTCTGTGCAGAAGAAAGCCTCACTGGTGCAGCCCTTGAGTTGGTGATAAAGCAGAGGGTCAGCGAGGTTAGTATCTTCTTTAGGGTGGCTCACTGGGTTCCACTAGTGTCTGCGTAAGAGGAGAGAATTAGTTGTGTAAAAGGGCTAAACACTTGTGCAGTTTAAGAGTGTTAGCACTGGTATTAATGGCACAACAATGTAGCACAGCACAGTGAAGCTTAGATGGCTGGCTGCTCATTCCCACATTAATGGTCACCTTCTTTTAAAACATTTTTCCTCATATGGAGTAAGGAGACTAACTTCTGCTATCCTACTGCCAGTCTTCACGTTCTGTCTATTTATGATTTTTTTAAACCACAATGACAAAGGAAGGAGTGAGTATGATATGGAAGAGAATGGGAGAGGTGTTTGTTGCAATTTGAGGTGAGGGAGATGGCGAGGTTCCCCTGCTGAACGAGTAGGAACTGCAGAGGGCTGGAAGAATAGTTGTTTGGGAGGATAAGATTGGTGAGAGCTAGTGAATGGACACGCCGATGCAATAATGATAGTTGTAGTCTAATAGCCTTGGTGAGAGACGTGTACAGTGGTAGGGTTAGAGTGAATACTGGTGGTCTTGTGACAATAAAGCAGCAGGTAGACATCTGCAGTTGCAGAGCGCAGGTTATTAACTTTCTTTCAGCACCACAGTATATAACGTTTGCCCTGATACACAGCACTGATTCTTGCTGCTATCTCTGTCCAGGTTGCCTGGTGGTCTGGAGGACACAGCACTGCCCTTCTTTGGGCCATCAGATCCACCAGGTCATTGTCTGCAAAATGCGATGTCACTTTCCATTACCGATCTGTTTTCACATTTACATTGTGCAGGATCGGCATAATGGTTAGCTCTTGTCTTGCAGCATCTGAAGTGCTGCGGAACTGGGATTTAAATATGGTACATGTGGCATGAATGTCACAAAGTCCCAGAAGGAACAAGTACTTCTGCCCCTCCTGCTAGACACTTCCATGAGCCAGGTACTGGATGCATGATTAATGAGCAGAATATTGTACGAGAAAAGTCGACATGGGTCAAGGTGAACTGCCTGCTGTGAATCTCACCGAAAAAATTCTTTGCCAAAAATGAAAAATTCAATCCATTAACGTAGTTTCTCTTCAAAGATGCTACCTAACATGCTAAGTATTCCCAGCCCTTTCTATTTCAATTGCCAGTGTTCACTGTATTATGTTTTAGTTTTAAAAGCAAAAGATGGGGTCTGGTATATCTTGGCTTTTGCCTATTTTCCAGGACTTCTACTGAATGCCAACCAAAATTACATCAGATTATGTCAAAGTCCTACATGTTTTCTGAATCAGAGCCCTAAAACAAATTGGGACTGAAATAATTACACTCAGGCCTCCATGTTTTTTCCAACGACTGGAGAAATTCACATTGTAAAACTGTTTTACTGATCAGTACCACTTGACAACAACCAGAAAATGTGTCTAAATCTAGCAACGAGACATTTGACAGTAAACTACAAAGATAATGCTGCTTCTGACATGTCCTTGGGAAAAGAAAACTCTGCTTCATTTCAGACTCTAAAGCAGTGTTGCATTGTTTACCACAAACCTCCATTTATAGTAGCACAAAAAGACCTTGTTTTTTAAAAAAACAAAAGTACACTGAAGTTGGAGAAAAACTATTAAAGCTTGTTCTTTGAAATCTACTGTACAAGCAACAAAGCTTAAAAATACTGATCTAACAGCCATAGCTCTATTAATATAGACCAGCTTCACTATATTCTCACACTTAGTAACTCCTTCAAGACAATTCCCTTGAAAGATAAACATATTGTTGGAAGTGGTTTATGTGGAACAGAGAAGGATAAAAGTAGAGATACTGAATTTAATCATATTTTAAATATTCATGACCAGAAACTAAATGAAGCAGTTCTCACCCCTACTACTGTTGTGCAGATTGTGTGGTTTCACTTGTTAGAACTACTTATACGTTCAACTTGAAAGAAACAATACCAAATGGACAAATGGGTAATGACTAGACAAATTAAAATATTTTGGCAACTAGACTTCACATGACAATGGCTTACACAACCACTACTAATCACATGAATGGTTTGCCCTACTTAATTACATTATTCCAGAAACCAATTCCAATGATTTCCATTCTAACATCAAACTCTTCCATGGGACTGCCTCATTCAGCCTTCATGGAATACATTCCAGCTGTTGATTATTCAATCCCCTAGCGAATATCTTAAACGTGTCCTTTTTGACACAGAACCTATGCTTTCTTGTAATACTACTTTGACATAATCAGAAAATTTTACAAATCAGGGAAATGCTTCCCCATTATAATGCAAATACTTAAATTAATTGTCTCAGATATTGACATGCTTTTCCTAGCAAAATGAACTATAAGAAGGTGCTTTCCCAAATGGAAGCGCATAATTCATTTTAATTGGATACTAAAGCTAAGGGGTTCTGCTTGTTCATATTGATTGGGTGAAACGTTAGTTCATAAACTCTTACAAGTGAATGGTTTACAATATAAAGACACTGCAGAATAGTATATGATTCTGCAGCTAGTCAGCTGACAAAGTCGTAAATCCCCGAGAAAATGTTGCAAACTAAAAATAACTGAAAATACAAAATATTAGATAGCGTAGTGTACGCACATGTGAAGTATTATAACAGAATGAGTCATTTTATTGTGTAAATAAAGGCAAATGCTTAAATACTTCACACTTACTTGAGTTCCATCAACAACGATGCCTAAATCGTTACTTGCCATCACTGACGTTCTAATTTCTAAAAAGTCTTAAATGTCGTTTGCTTTATTTTCACGACTATTCAAGCTGCCCAGCCACAATTCTCTATTTTATATACGGTTTGTTTGAAAGTACCACTATGCCGCAGCTACGACCTGCATATGTAAATATACAAGAGTACTACACTTCCGCACTCCTGTCAGCTGATTCGGAACGGAAGTCGGTGCCAAAACGTAGAAAAGGAGGAGCATAGGGACTTGGGAAGCAGCTTCCAATTACACTGTATGCAATTGTGGTACAATATGTTTTTGCAAAAACTGTGTATGGGAAGTTTGTTTAGCTGGAGAGATTTTTTTTCTCAAACGTCGAGTGCAACTTAAATGTGTAATTGTAGTTAGTCGATGCGACGTAAGATTTCTGATAATGGTTTGCTATGTAAAAAAGCCTCTCAAAAAAAGAATATTTGCATTTACCCACTGAGTCCAACTAATCTATCTTTCCTGTCATTTAAGTAGAAATCATGCAAGCATCTATGTAGAATGAACCATCAAACATCGTTTCCCCCTCCCACCTCCCACGAGAAAAAAGAAAAACTTCCCTTCCCGCCCCATCAGCGGAGCGCATGCGGAAGTCCGGCACTGCAGAGTACTGACCCAATCTCAGCTCCTACTAACTACTAATGTAAGCCTATTGCTCTGATATTTAACACAAGTAAGTCTGATACCTGGAATCTACTTCTCTTCATTGGTCCAGTTGTTTACAAATGGTAATTAAAATTTGAAGAATTAATACGATTTATCTTCTATAATGGGCAATTCGGATACAGCAACGACAGTGATGTCTTTGTAATAGATGGAATATGTTTACGTTATGTATGTTTCAGAATAGAATCGACATTAACATTGTTTATAAGCGATTATTAATAACCAGGTATGAATTTTGGTATTTATCCGTGTGCGAGAGATATTGTCAGCGTGCTTGTCAGGTCGCTATTGTAACTAGTCGCTTCCGTACCGCCCTGATGTCATATTGCTGCAGGTTACTGGTATAAAGATGAGTTGTCTTGGAAAGAGTGTTTTAATTTTTACCAAAAATTCAATCTTCTCGTGTAATCAGATGACAATTCTTCGATTTCTATATCCACATCTGGGTCATATTGAATACAGTCTGTTTTAGGTGCTACATATAAACCGTTGAAGCTGTACAGCAGTCACTTTACAGTTAAAAATGTTGATTGCTAAATTGTTTTATTTTCAAAAAAAATCTCGTTCTACAAACATCGGGCATACTAACTTGTTGTCATTTGTTTCCAGTAATAATTATATTTGCATGCAATGAGTGATTCATAAATATGTCAGAATATAAAATATAGGCACGTACTTCAAACTTTCTATTTAAAAATCATGAATTATAGCCACGAAAAATGTGTTCCCATTTAGGGTAATACGAAGTATTTGCTGTCTTGTACTGAGACCCATCTGTCATCTAGACAATAAAGAAAGCCGCTGTTACTTTTTCCCTGACGTTGAAAATTTATGGGCGCCCTACACTGCCCTAATAACTCAAGCATTGTGTCAACGTTTGACAGGCTTGCAGAAAAACAGCAACCCTGTTATCAATCAAACAACCCTTTGCATATTTTTAGCTGCGCTCTGATCTTCAAGACACGTTTATGTATGAATTATATCATTATGAATCATTCTACAGATTTACTGTAAGGCGGAACGTGATCTATCACGTCTTTCAAATCAACAAAAGATAGAAAGATTTTTAGTTTTCGCCATTTTACCATGTTTGACACTTGTGGAATAGTACACTGAAATGAACCTATTTTACAACGAACCCATTTCGCGGTGAAATCCGCGCTTTTACAATTCAATTTATAAAACAAAGTTTATTCTGCAGATTTGAATTTTAAAATATTCAAAGGAACCATCATCAAGTTTCCTTTGCTGCAGGTAATTACTTCAATGTATCAGTAAAACTCAGTCGCATGACATCCGGATCTTCACGCTTTCTATGATTCGCTTTATGCTTTATTTTGCAAATAATTATTTTAAAGCAGTTAAAATTTACTTCAATGTCGAAATACTTGCTCTCGCTCTCACGAAAAAGAATTGGTATGGATTAGGGTATGATAATTTTTCTTCAATACAGTTATCTGATCCGACTCTTTTAAAAAGATTTCTGAACAATAAAGACTGATTCTATTGTTAATGAAGAACGACTGTAAAATATAAAATTGCCATATTATTTTAAAGTTAACGGGGAATTTTGTTTGCGTTTTATCAAAAAGCTGTTGTTCGAAATAGCTAATATTCGGTAAGTATTCTACATTTATCAAAATTTTATGGCTTCAAATTATCAGACATCAACTAAATTATCTACAAATAAGGTTTTAATTAAATTTAAGTCTTATGAAAATAAACAAAACTTTTAAATATTAATTTTATAAAATTTTAAGAACATGGATGATTTTAAAAAAAACACAACTCTCCATTCCACCAATACCTGGTGCAGAAGTTTTCTTTCAACCGTCAGTCACAAGTCAATAATGAATCTTGAGAGGACAGAAGTCCTTCATTATGGTTAAGTACAAATTTTACCATTACTCTGATACTGGACAGGATATACAAGCTGCCGCTCGTCTACTAAAAAATTGTTCTAAGATTTTTATTGCCTATTAATAAGAAAGGGATACATTTTTCTTAGCTAAGTGTATTGTAATTAAATTGCATAATCAAAAGTAAAATCAATCTTTCATTATTGCTACAAAGTTTAAAACTTTACACAAGTAGATAAAATCAGGGACCACGGTAAGTGCATTTTCCACCTTTTACAGCTATTTAACTTCTTCGAAATAGTAAAAACTAATTTACATTTCACATGAACCAATTCTGTGACAATAAGAAATGCAAAACAAATAAGTATCGATGTATCTCACTGCCTGGACGGGCATAGACCTCCCCGCTGTGTGTACATTTGCTGCGCACTATAAATTAGAAAGTCAAATGAATTCACACCCAAATGTGTAATTTTGAAGATTAAATTTAATAAGAGTTCATCGTTCCAGAGCAGTATGAACCGTGTTAGCAGACTGTTAACTTTAGATCGATGCGAACGGGTAAACGCGCGATTGTCTGCCTTTCCACCTGTATATTAGTCATAAAATTAAATTCAGATTTGAGTCGTTTTCTCCATATTTTCCATGTTTATTTTGAAATGAACACTAACTCGTAATGTAATAAACTCTAAAGTCTAACTGGCTCCTGCTATCTGTGCCCGATATTGCTAAATTAATATTAATATTGCTAAATTAATTCAAAACAGTGCGCACCGTTAACTTGCCTTTCTCCATCTCATTTAAGACAAAGGGGTTCTTGCTGTTCCTTTAAAACCAACTTCGCTCCAATCCGCTTTCTGTTGAAATCCATCCCAGGATTTACAGGATCTGACCTGACCTGTCAAGCGGATTATCATACAGAGAGATTAATAGGGTAGGCGGGTTGCAATAATAATCGTTTTGTTTGATGTGACAAGTTTGATAGGCGTTGATTTACTTACAAACTGATAGGCTTTTAATTGAGCGTCTCCATCCAAGTTAGATGAAAGGAAGCCGCGGCATTTTGTGTCTGAAAAGCTGCCCAATTGCCCGGGAGTCTGAATACTTATTAGCCGGGTACGTGAACGGTCAAATACTTCTTTTTGAATGTATTGCTCAGTCTTTCTTTTTAAAAAAAAAGATAAATCCCTTATTCTGTGTAAAAATCGAATCGTGTTGACATGTCTGCCAATTGCTGATAAAGTAAAAAGTTGGACATTGTTTTAACAGTTGATGTTTTTAATTATCTTAGTCCTTGAATGCTTTTTTTTTCCCCTCTACCGTTAAACAATATAAATTCTAAAGGAGCTCCGGCGGTAAATCTTTTACTCTTACGTGCCAAGCACATCGTCTTGATTATGAAAAGAAACTTTTGCTTGTTCTTTTAAAAAAAATAACTTCGCCACAAAGATGGTGTCGCTGGCAAAAGAAATTTGAGATCCTAGCCAGACTATTCAGGTCACTTCCACTCAAGATTTATTTATTGTATTTTAGACGGATAATGTACAACTGATACTTCACGGTATTTCATTTCATTGTTTTATCTTAAACTTATAAATGTTGTGTTAATGAAAGTTGCCTACCGTGTATTTCGAAAAAAGCAGGTTATATATGTTTGTTAGGTTTCAATTTGGTTCGTTTTCCCTTTGCTCTAGTATTTAAGCATGCAGACCTAAATACTATTTAAGCTACGTAGCTTGCTCAGTCCTCCTTCACATCGAAGTGAACAAATCTCCAAAAAAAACTCTTCCCACAGTCGACTCCACCTAAAGCAATTAATCTTTTAGTATTTCTCACCGGGAGGCAGGACAAATACAACAAGAACAGATAGTCGTCTCTATGGTATAGTAAGGAAAACAGCTGTTCCAAGCAGTTAATGCAAATGAACACAAATGAAGGTACAGCGTTTCAATGTTTACTGCACTTCATCCATCAACCTGACGAGCCATTAAAAGGAAAGAACTGTTCTGCGCAGATCGAGTTTACTCCCACCACTTGGGAATTGTTCAGATCTCTCCCAACACCATTATACACCTGGACAAATTTGTTCTTCCTTTGCCAAATTATTTAAGTACGTTCTTTGTACATAGTAGTAAGTGGTGTTGTACTTTTCACTTATATTTTAAAAGGCTTAATTCATAGCAAAATCTGCGTTAACATTTTAAAGATATTATTATTTAAAAGGATATGACGCTAATTGCCATCATAAATTTGTTGTTTACCGTGTCATTCGGAGAAGACTATAGCTAAGTTTTTTTTTTGTTATATTCTCTGTGTAAAAGATTTTAAGCAAAACGCGTATAGTTTGAGAATTCTAATGCTGGACATTTCAAAACACTAAACTTATCAAATGTGCGCATTGTTTGTGTATTCTTCAATATTGTTAAAATAGTATTTTATTGAGAAGACAATTTGAGTGAAGTTCAGTCCGAATAGATAATCCACCTCATAAATTGCTAACGATCCCTCAGCACTTCCCATGTTCTTCACTTGTCAAACGTGTTTTTATCTCCAAGTGACCTTTTGTTAATGTTGTAGATTGTGTGGGCCACCATGTCGAGACCGGAAACAAAAGCAAAGATTGATTAGCACATACATTAGCCAGTGAAAAGAAGAAAACATCAAACAAAAGTCAAAATCTTACAACACTTTATAGTTTTTTTAAATTTAAAAACTTACAAAAAGTTTCACATTACGGAAGCCTAGTCTCACTTTCTGATAGACGTTTCTGCAATCGTTGATTTGTTTTTCTAAAGACAGTAAGGTGCTATATTTTGTGTGAAATTCCACGACAATAGTTTATGCGTGCATTATGAACCTTTTTTATAGTAGTGACTTTGATCAGACCGATCATTTGTTCTAGCTGTCAAGTTTAACATGTCAAGACTTTCAACATGTCAATCTTAATCTTTTTCAAACACCCCTACGTGTGACCATCGGATTGACTGATCGATGATACGATCTCAATAATGTGGTTTTGTTTGTAGTCTGCTGCTGCGGCCTGAAATAAGATTTCTTAATTTAAGATTTTTGAAAATGTTCTATTTCACAAAGAAGAAAAATTCAACAGGAAAGTAAGCGATTAATGCCAAGAAGTGAAGGTGTATAATTCGTTCGAGCGAATTGAAGTGCGGTGTAGTGCGTCCGCCTTTTGTTCGCATACAAATTGAGTTTACTCTGAGAACGATTTATTTCCCTAAATTGAATGCCTCTTTTCAAACGCCGTTCTTTTTCAAGTCACACCAGGCTTGTAATCAGCAACAAAAGCTGACATAAATCAACCTAGATTGACAGGACTGACAAATAACTGATTGATTGCGGTTGGGAAAATTGACAGTTGGGGGTGGGGGTGTTGAATTGAAAGCATGTGACATTGAGATCCTTCTCCGGATTGGCCTAATATCGTCACATGCTAGAGTCTAAAATTTCGCCTTCACACAATAACCAACAGACACACACAAAAAAAGTTAACATCACATCCCCTTGACCCTCCAATCACCTCGGGGTTCAGTGTTCATTGTGTGATTTGATTGGAAGGCGGCAAAGGCTTTAATCTTAAAGTAATTCGGTGTTTGAAGTGTTGACGGCCAGATTGTGTGTTGCATGTTGTGTTGTGTGTAGCAAAGCGGTCGTGCTGCTTGTCTGATGAGCGCCGTGCAGGATTTGGGCAGGGTCTCCAGTACCGTGAGTGAAAGCAACCACAGCGTCCTCGAACGGCACAGTCCTTCTTGGAGTGTTGGTTCAGTTAGGTCATGATTACATCGCCTTCCGTCTCTACCCACAGAATTACAGCGAGTGAAATCAGCAATAACAGCAGCAGGGGAAATAGTAATAGCAAACCTTTCTACCACTCCGTACCTCCCTCAGACCCTTCAAGACAAGCTAATCGTCTTCCTATCAAGGTTTTGAAAATGCTTACGGCTCGCACCGGACACATTTTGCATCCCGAGTATTTGCAGCCTTTACCATCTACACCCGTAAGTCCCATCGAGGTACGTTACTTATGTTTTCGTTATACATTACTATGTTTTATGTAACCTATGCATTATATAACGTTTACATGGAAACACGAAAGTTAGTGATTTTCCACACTACTGTACCTTTCTTATCCGTCGATCCTTTCGTAACAAACGATCCTAACAACGTTACATTCGATTTGAACACGACTGGGGTTACACTTAACCCATTACGGTTACTGCAGTTAAGGTTATTTTTAAAAGATTATTTAATAGGGTACATAGTTACAGCATTGTTTTTAACACAGAATTATCGACAACTTACAACTAAACAATGAATTTCCTATTACTAACAGATGAAAGTTACGAAGTATACGTTATAATAGCCACGAACGCAAACATTTCTTCATTTATTATTTAATTTTGTTGTAGCTTGATGCGAAGAAGAGTCCTTTGGCACTTTTGGCTCAAACATGTTCTCAGATTGGGAAGCCGGACCCCCCTCCATCTTCAAAGCTAACTTCTGTTACGTCAAATGGTACAAGTGACAAAGATTCCGGAAAACCTACTCCTTTGAAACTTAGCGACATTGGTGTAGAAGACAAATCGAGTTTTAAACCATATTCCAAACACGCTGAGAAGAAGGATTCCAGTTCCTCCGGCTCTTCCAGCGTTTCTGCGGAAAAGTCTGGTTTCCGTGTGCCTAGCGCCACCTGCCAACCATTCACACCAAGGACAGGCAGTCCAAATTCCAGCACTTCTTCACCGATGCCACCCGAGGGCAAAGGCAATGACAGTCAGGAAAAGAAAGAAATGGACACCGTAAAAAACAGCTCCACAGACAATTCCACGACAACTAGCGTCAGCCACAACCGGATTAGTGTCAGTTGTGCTGGGATAAATGTGGAAGTGAACCAGCACCAGGAGACTTCAGTGTCAAAACCCATTATTTCGGAAACTTCCGCTCTAAGTTCTGGACTTGTTGCCCCGGTTTCACCGTATAAGCCCGGACAAACTGTCTTTCCTTTGCCTCCAGCTAGCATGACCTACCCAGGCACCCTGGGAGCGTACGCCGGCTATCCGCATCAGTTTGTGCCACATGGCGTCAGCTTGGATCATGCCAAATCCAGTCTGGTCGGAGCGGCACAGCTGGCAAGTTCTTTGGGTTGTGGCCTCTCCAGTAAATCCACCGGTTCCAGCCCATTAGCCGGTGCCTCTCCACCCTCCATGATGACGGCCAGCCTTTGCAGAGATCCTTATTGTCTCAGTTATCACTGCGCTGCTCACCTTGCCGGGGCAGCAAACAATTCTTGCACCCATGATCCTACAACTTTGAAGTCTGGATACCCTCTGGTTTACCCCTCGCATCCACTACATGCCGTTCACACGTCCATGTCCAGCAACGCTGGGACGCCAACCCTCGCGGGACACCATTTGTACCCATATGGCTTCATGCTACCTAACGACCCCCAGCCTCACGTCTGTAATTGGGTCTCCGCCAATGGACCATGCGACAAGCGATTTTGCACCTCGGAGGAACTGCTCAACCACTTGCGGACGCACACTGCTTTCTCCGGGACTGATAAGCTCATGGCCGGCTACCAAAATTCGTCTCTGGGCAGCGCGGCGGCGGCGGCAGCTGCAGCAGCTGTGGCGTGTCATATGCACCTCCCACCGACAGGGGCGCCTGGAAGCCCAGGTGGTCTCACACTAAGGAGCCCTCATGCTTTAGGACTGAGCAGTAGGTATCACCCGTACACCAAGAGTCCCCTGCCGACCCATGGAGCTCCAGGGCCGGTTACCACTCTACCAGTGCCGGCAACAGGACACTATTACTCTCCATACGCACTCTACAGCCAGAGGTTAACCACAGCTTCAGCACTGGGCTATCAGTGAGCTCAGATATTCGAAGCTGCAATATGCATTGCGATGAAGGCTTATGTGGGTCCAATTTCAAAACCGTCAGGAATTCTTTTTAAATGTTGACCTAATTTCCTTCTGTTAAAATAATACAATCTGATTTTTTTTAAATGTCATGAAACCAGACATCTATCCGAAAGATGAACCGATTAATGTATACGTAAAAATCCATTGAATTGTTTTGAAAATTAATAAATGTAAATAGTTTTTTTTTCTTTGAAAGTTTTGAAATGCAATCCAGGTAGTCTCTCACAAAGCAGATTGCAGTATAATGGACCTTTTTTGATGGTGTTCATCAATGGACGGGTTCCGTGAACGCTGTATTTATTTATGTTAGCTTCAAGCGGGGGAAAAACATAACAAAGTGCATTACTTAAAAAAAAAACCATAGGTAACGTGGAACAGTGTAGAAAAATAGGGATTTTCCGGAATTTCTTTTCAATTGCTATGATTGTATTGTACGTTCTTAATTTAATGTCTCTTGGAAAAAATTTACATGCATGTTTGTTACTAAATTCCAACTTGTCATTATAATTTCAAATTGCAATTATTTTTAAGGTGTACCATGGAAAGAGAATTGGTATTTTTTGTATGTATTCTGGAAATAAGAAGCAGTGCTATTCAAAAATATGACCGTCTTATTTTGTTATTAAATGAATACTTGATTACAAATTGTAACTTCCGTTCGCATTATATAGGTTTTCAAGTGCAGTTTTGCTACTTTTAAAAAATGCTTCCCATTTCTATGATTATGCCAGGTTCTTTCCCCCCCCCAAGCAGTGTTGCATTGCTAACCAGGGCAACTTTTGAGGAGGGAAACATAAGTTTCTAATGTTTCTTAATTTTTTTTTTAAAAAATCCTGTCATTTTCCTACAGCTGTTAACCTCTTAGAATGCATGTTCCACAGTTAGAAACTTAGAGGTCACTTAACAGTTTTAATGAAAAGTATTTCCCTCTGAGAAATTGCAAAATCATCACATACACTTCCACCACAGCGGCACAAATTATTCGACTACTGTATACACACTAATTGTTGTTTAAAACATTGGAATACAAATAGGCCTGTTTTTTTAAACATTTACTGTAAGTTTATTAGCTCTGAATACATTTTGGTTATAATACCAATTATTCAAACGTTGTTCCGGAGGGCTAGATGAAAACAAATGCCCGAAAGAGATCGACCAACGTAGTACTGCAAAGACCCATCACTTTTCATAATAGTTGTAAATATTTTTCACCTTGTTAGCCCTTGGTATCTGAATTAAATTTTCATAAATCTGACGCAGGAGAGTGGACGTACAAAATTATACACAGAATCACGTTAATCGAGGATTCATATTTTCAAGTTTCAGGAATTTGTCCAGTTAGCGGCAACCAAGCCCCGCTAAGTCATCTCTCTTTGAACTCAATCCTATTACAAATAGCTTCTTGCCCTGCTCTAAATAATATGTTTGTCTTATTCGAAATCAGGATGTTTGAACATATTGTTTCTTAATGTTTTTTAAAAATCTGCTTTTACAAATTAACCAACGGTAAACAAACGTAAATTGCACGTAAAGCTTTCAGGTTTTAAAAAAAACTAAATGTTAAATCATAATTTTCTATTAGATTTATTAAAATAAGGTCTCTGCAAACGATACTATGAAAAGTTAAAAGTAGTGTAATTCCAAGAAATGTACGTAAAAGGGTAAATGAATTGACGTACACTACAAATTGAGGTACTAAACATTCTTAGTGGATTAACATGGACTCAAACCCAAAATAAATATTTCTTTAAAAAAAGTTTGATGGGTGTTTAACGATGTATGTACTTTAGAGTATAGTCCGACTACACACTTTTGAAATAATTTTAAAAGTGACAAATATTTACACCTGGGGTATTGGGCGTGTCCGAGCATCATATTCGTGGAATTAAAATGAACTAAAGAAGCGTTATCATGACAGTAACAAAATTTTTCTTTTATACATTAAACGATTCTGAACATATTTTCATCACTTTTGAGTGCTGCTTTTTTTTTTAACCTTAAAGAACGGTGAAACGGCACCGTATAAATAGCGGTATCCTCGATATCTTTAAAATGTCCATCTTCATACATTTGTTAGCTCGTCAATACCGGTAGGTCGGTCTTCTCTACGGCTTTGTTTCCCAGTAAAATAGGTGGTACAAACACATTCCTATGATAAAAGCATTGTGAAACATAATCACTGTTAAAAGTTGTTTTCCTGTGGGGGAAATATGTTAATTGTTGCAGAACTTGTGAGATCTAATTAGACCAATTAACAGGAAAAATGTATTTTTCTTCTGGCTCTGACCCTTCTTCGAGACTTATTATTCAGAACGTTTGGTTGACTCAATGTCACCAGCTTTTGGTTCTAAATCGTTTTTGTTATTCCTTGAAATGTGCGTGATTATGCTTGTTTTACTCCGTTAGAATATTAAATGCGTGCGATATTCGTTTTGGCCTTCTCATTCAAATTGTCATTGGTTTAGATTAGTGTAGTGGATTATGCATGATTCTTTTAGTTAATCTTTTTGAATAGTTTGATGTTGCGACCATCCAAGTCTTGTTCAAAGACCCATTTGGTGTCTTAAGGGCTTTGTGCTTTCAGCCCGAAAAAATAGCTCTGTTAGCAGCAGGGCCTCTCATACACATAGCGAGATTATTGAGGTTATTGGGCAATGCGAGTTGATTTTCTTATGCACTTTTTTTTGAGGTCGACGGCTATAGATAGCAAAAGGGAGAGAGTGTGAATGGTGTGAGTGCGCGGGTTTTTCTGCGTTTCTTCTTGGATTTGTTGCCATCAGGCGCGATGCTTCCTCAGAGCTGACAGCAGCCGCTGGTCGCCGTCACCGGCACGGAATCGATCAGCGAGCACAGCCGCCTCAGAAAGACAACCAGCAGAAAGGGCAAATCACATCAAAAGACAGGCTGCAAACTCGCACCAGCATTGCCCAAAGATTCAGGTCGGCAACCTCGACAGGTTCACTTCAACACATGCAATGCAATCGGTGCAACGCAGCGAAGGCTGCACTAGGTGTACCAGCGGCCAGAGCGCACCGAATAAATCCTCAAGGCAGGGGGAGGGGGAGTGGGAGGGGGAAGCAGCTCCAGAAGGTGCACCCAAAACAGGTAGGCGCCCTTCTATTCCCCGTGGACCACTAGAAGGCTTTGCAGCCACAGGTTTTCCAACGTCAAGCGCCTCGCAAAATTCAAATTCCAAACATAGTCAAACACACCGTTCAACAGATGTTTATCTACAAAACCGTAAACTTGAAATGAAGCCACACAACAGTGGCGTCTCAAAAAAAACAAAAAAAAACTTAAATTCTCACAACCATTGACAATTCCCAGCTTAATGTTACAGAAAGAAGCGAGAATGAATGCAATACACTCCGCGCATTGATCGGGGAGAGTGTAACAGGAGGCAACTTAAAACAGGGATTGCCTTGCGGTCGCTTTGATCTGGGAGATAACATCCTCTGATATCTCGCTATACGGGTCAGCGAAGTGAATAAAGACAGAGAAGTGTTTCACCGGAAGGGAGCTGCTCATCTGAGCTGATTTACACGCGTTGTTGTGGAGGAACTCGAACGTCTCCACAATGCTCTGACAACGCGTTAAATGAATTTACAGGGCACTGACACCACTCGTCCCCAAAACTTGCGGGCAAACTCAGCACCTTGTCCACACCGTACAGACCTCGCGGCGGGGGGGGGAAGAGTTGAGGGAAAGAAGAAACAAAATAAAACGCTAATCTTGTGTAAACAGTAGTTAACGTTTATATCTTAGAAGACGTAAACTGGGCGCAAAATGCGCTGCAAAAATCAGAGAATGGCTCTAAAACCAATAGACCACATGGGTTCACTCTAGCAGTAATCTGGAGACCAAAATATGCCAAAGACGTTTCTACTTTTTATATCTAAAAGGGGACAGGCTAGTAAACATTGTCACCATTATTATAACAATCGTGCTTTTAAATAAGCACCACACAGTCGAGGCTTAGCTTTTCCACCATCACGACCGAAACTATATTATTTCAATCTACGAACTTAACTCGAAGTGAGTAAAATGGGTTAAGTAAATGAAGCAGATTCCCTTGCAAACTTGTCATCAAGGATAAGTTATATTTTGCTTTGAAGAACAGGCAAGACCATTTTTGTTCCTCTGACACAAAATGCTTCATATTTTGCTCAAGTCTCTAGTCTCTGGCAGGGTCTTCCTCACCCCGGACTCCTGAAACAGCAACAAGGTGAACAGAAAACTAAATTCGAGCCATTAATTATATGAACCAACTTTTCCATGTGTTTTTTTTCTCTGGAACCATTAACCATTGTGTTTTCAATATATTAACCAAATATCATATTGACAATGACAGGCTCTTATTAGAAAAAGCACAGCAACTGCAATCGCTTAATTTGTTCCCAAAGGTGAACAGACAGTGTTTAATTTGGAAAACCGTCTTTTATTTCTTTTTGAACCACAGTTAAGACGTTGTACCTGGTTTTCCTTCCGTTGATCTCAACGATTGAAATGCTCCTCCATTCATGTCGTTGCTAAGTCAGTATTCTAGGATATTGCATTTGTTAAAAATACACTGAATGTCTATAATTTGCCATGTTCAACAATTCCAAAGACCTCCGTGTACTGGCAGGTGACTACCAAAATGCAACAGTCTCATTCCTTACTTCATTGTACGACGCCGTATCCTTCAATCATCACCGCTCCAATTCTTAGCTCAATTTTGGTTTTCAATGTTTGTATTGTATTACATTTTCCTAATCTCTTCTGTACTGGCCATTAGCCAAGTCCACAAAGAATGGCCACGATCAAGTGGTCCAGTCAGTAGTTAAACCCGAGTTAACAGATGGCCATTGTTCGACAGGGCGTCAGCCCTAACTATTAATACACAATGACCGTTAGAGCGGTTAAACTAAAAAAAGGTCAATGGCGCGAGAAGCAAGAGCAAAGCGGGCGCGCGGCTGGCTTTAGTTGCACGTGGTGCCAGCTGCAGGTGTTAAATGGGCGCGCGGCCGACTTTAGGAGCACGTGGTGCCAGCTGCAGGTGTTAAATGGGCGCGCGGTTGGCTTTAGGAGCATCTTGTGCATGCTATAAGTGCGCAATGGACGATAACTGAAAATTAGCTCTGCCTCGGGTGCCCGAATGTCGCAGGTCCTGGATTTTAAAAATCTAGGGACTTTAAGCAATGTTTACTTCTTTGCCTCATTAAAAATAAACGATAACTAGGCCCTAACATCTCCCCAGTTAAGGATGCAAGGAAGACAGGTTTGGGCAAAATTGCACTCTCTCCGAATGGTAAGTCGTTCCACAATTTATTTAGCAGCATGATTAAAATAATAAAACGTCACTAGACGTTTCAGAGGAGTTATTATTAGAATATTTTAAAAACCAAGGAAAACAATTACAATACAGTAGAAGCTGTTCTGTCCATCTATCTATACTCAGTAAAAATAAACTAGCTAGTTCCACTCGCTGGTACCTGGTCAGATCCCTGGAGGTTAAGTACTTTAGGTGCATATTCAGACACCTATTACATGATTTGAGGGTTCTGCATCTAGTAATCTTTCAGGCTGTTTCCAGACCTGTACCCCCCTCTGGGTGACAAAATGTTTCCTTATCTCCCTCTCTAATTCTTCTGCCAATCACTTTAAGTTTGTGCCTGCTAGTCACTGAACCATCTGCTAAGAGAAGTACTTGTTCAGGCCCCTCATAATTTTATATACTTCAATCAAACCTCCCCTCAGCCCTTTCTACTCCATGGAAAACAATCTCAGCCTATCCAATCAATCCTGTTGCTGCAATTTTCCAGTCCTGGCAACATTCTTCTGTATCTCCTCTGAACTCTCTTGAGTGCATTACATCTTTTCTGCAATGAGCTCACCAGAATGGCACACAATACTCAAGGTGTGGCCTAGCTAGATTTTATAAAGCTCCATCATAACCTCCCTGCTCATATATTCTATGCCTTGTCTAACAAAGGAAAGTATTTCTTCACCTTATCAACTTGCTATCAGCTTGGACATGTACTCCAAAATCCCTCATTTCCTTTATACCTCTCAGTGTCCCCTGATTGCTTCCTCGCTTCATTTACACTTCTGATTATTCTCTGTTTTATTGCGTATTCATTTGCCTTATTTGAATTTCCTAGATCATTACCTCACTGTTCTCTGGGTTGAATTCTATTTACTACTTTTCTACCAACTTGACCAACCAATTGATAGCTTCCTGCAGTCAATAGTTTACCACCCCATTATCAATCACACAGCCAACTTTGGTATCACCTGCAAACTTCTTGTGATCATGCTCCTTACATTTAGAGTCATTGAGGTGTACAGCACAGAAACAGATCCTTCAGTCCAACTTGTCCGTGCTGACAAGATATCCTAAATAAATCTGATCCCATTTGCCAGCATTTGGCCCATATTTCTCTAAACCCATCTTATTATTATACCTATCCAGATGCCTTTTAAATGTTGTAATTGTAGCAGCCTGCACCACTTCCTGTGGCAGCTCATTCCATGAATGCACCACTGCGTGAAAAAGTTGCCCTTAGGTCCCTTTTAAATCTTTCCCCTCTCATCTTAAACCTATGCCCTCTGGTTCTGGATTCCCCCCACCCCAGGGAAAAGGTGTTGTCTATTTACCCTATCTATACCCCTTCTGATTTTATAAACCTCTTTGAGGTCACCCCTCAGCCTCCGACACTCCGGGGAAAATACCCTCAACCCATTCAGTCTTTAAAGTCCAATTCATTAACATGTACTGCAAAAAATGGGGGAATCTAGTCCTGAACCCTGTGCAACCCTACTGGAAGCAATATTCCAGTTGCAAAAACACTGGAATGGCCACACCAATTCTGTATCCAGCTTACTACCTTGGCCTGGATCCCATGGTTCTTATTTTTTTACTTTTTTAAACAGTCTGCCATATGGCACCTTATCTAAAATTTTGCTAAAATCCATTGTACTGGCCTAATCAATCTTCCATGTTAACTCAAAACAAAACCAATCAAGTTAGCCAGACATGGTCTTTCCATGACAAATGCATCTTAACTGTCTTTGATTACTTCATGCTTTTCTAAGTAGCAGTTTATGCCGTCACTCAATTTATACCAATACTTTGTTGACTCAAAAGGTTAGACTGATGGACCTGTAAGTATTATCCTTTCCTCCATTTTTGAAACAAAGTCACAATGTTAACATTGCTCCAAAATGGATAGACCCAGCAGAGGTGATAGCAAAATGATATTAAGTCGGGAGTGAATTGCCTGGGAGTTCTCAATATTGACTCCAGACTGCAGGAAGTCTCATGGCTTCAGGTTAAACATGGCCAAG